GAACTCTTTTTGTGAAATATTTCTGGACTTTCTCAACTGTATTAATATCAGATATATAATGCGGGTTCCAGACTGATGAGTTGTATTCAAGTATTGATCTAGCAAATGTTTTGTATGCTGTAGTTAGTAGTGTGATATTACCAGAGCAAAAGCTATGCAGGTTTAGGTTAACAACTCTTAATGCCTTTTTGGCTATGTAGTTACAGTGGGCTGTAGCACTTAGTCATTAGAGATGAGTACTCCAAGTTCCTTGACAGTTATTGTTACAGTCTTTATATTACATATTGTAGATGACTTCTGTTTTTCCTTCTTGGGCTACTGGATTTTTTTGGTTTGCTTAAGATGTTTTAGAGCAGTGGTCCCCAACCATCGGGCCCCGGACCAGTACCGGTCCGTGGATAATTTTGTACCGGGCCGCCAGTTTGCTTGGGCACCGCCACCTTGTTTCGATGGCGCTTGAGAAAGTGCTTCCAGGTGAGCTTGTCGTTTGTCGTTGGTTGGAAAGCGGCATTTGGGTGCTGAAGGAATCCTCATGCCTTAGTTTCGTCGAAGAGGGGGGGCGGCTTCAAACAAAGAGCCGTCCCAATGGCGGTGGAGGCTCGCGTTACTCAGGAGGCGTTTAAGAAAGAGCCCGAAAAGCACAAAAAAGGTACAAAGGAGGAGTTGAAGGTGGCGGGGAGAAGCGGGGGACGGCTGGCTGGCCGGTCGCTCAGCTCGCCTTGCCTTGGTTGTGCATGCTGATGCCGGTACTGGTCCGTGGATCATTTTGTGATGCCGATACTGGGCCGCAGTACAAAAAAGGTTGGGGGCCACTGTTTTAGAGGGCTTTAGTTGTTTTGTGTGCTGTGGTGATGTAATGTATTTGTAATAGTTTGTTGATTGGTTCAAAATGACGATCGTTGCTGTTATTCTTTTCATAACTTGTTCTGGTTGTGCTAAATATACTGAACTGAGTGGACAAGCACTTCTTGATAAAGTTACATAGGTATCCATTTTGTTGGACTCTGTTGCATTGGCAATTTGTTTCCTTTTTCTGTTGTTCCAAGCTGCTGTAGTGGATTTGTGCCGGTCTGAATAATATTGGGTTTTTTTAATAGTACTTTTATTAAAGATTACAGTTACAACAATAAAAACTAATACAAACAAAAAGAAAAAGAAAATGTAAAAGGTAAATAAAACAAAAGAGAAAAATAGAGAAACAGTGAAGAAAAATAAGAATGTAATAAAGAAAAAGAAAAGTGACCTCCCCCTACATCATAAATGTAAACAGTTTTAGTAACTTATTATCTTCTCTTAAAATGCAACAAATGATCTTTTTTCCCCCATATCTCATCTCTTATCTATAACAAATCCATCTGATGTCTGCAAAAATCCACTAAGGTTTATCAGAGTTTCCTCTTTTAACCTTAATCCAATAAACCAGCTTTATGTTCCTTCCTTTTATTTCTAACAATCTTAATCTTTAATCCCTTCAAATAACATTGTAGAACTTGATTTCATTTCTCAGAAAATTATTTAAAATTCTTAACAAGCCTCTTTTGTACTATTTTTCTACTATTGACCTCACCCCTTTCCTAAGAGGTCTGCAGGGGGCGTGCATAAGCGCACCAACGTGCCTACCATCCCTGTCCTATTTTTTTTTTCTTATATGTATCCATTTCATGTATCCATAACTATATTTATACTTATACCTGTTATCTTATAATTGCTTGACAAAATAAATAAAATAAAATAAATACATCCAATATAGGAAAGTTATTCACGTTACTCCCTTGATTTGTTATTTGCATACACTTTTTAATTTATTAAGACATCTGACAAGGACTGCACAATTGGTGTTTTCTCTACTGGGGATTCTGGGAATTGCTTAGGGAATTTCACTGTAATCCAACAAGCAGTTCTGTCAAGGGCCTAGTTGCTCACTGGGAATAGGAAGCAATTGGCGCTTAACATTATTATCCTTAAACTAATCAGTTGGCTGATCTAGGATGGCTCCCTGATCACAAAGTGATATCTGTGGAGGCTGGTGAAGGAAAACGAAGCTGATCAAGTAAGGGTACAAGTATAGGTAAAAGCTCATGTTTGAGCCCACACCATGGAAATGGTAGAAGATTATACTTCTCTTTCTTTATTGTATCATGCATTGAATGCACTGTCATTCATGGGTTCAGCATGAACAACTCCCTATAGGGGAGAGAACTGCAATACAACTCCTGCCTGATCATTTCACTAGTTTCCAGATTCGTCAGCAATACGTTGATCAAAGGATTCAGTCTCTTCCCTTAAATACTGCCATCTGGTGTGGACCCTAGGAAGTGTGTCTTTTCTGTAGCAGCTCTGGCCCTGTGGAATGTCATACCCAGTATTGGGCAAACCCTACTCTCTTGGATTTCCATAAGGCCAAAAGAGCTGTCTCTTTCCCCAAAACACTGGCATGGGGTGAGGAAGGAGCTAAATATGTTGAATGCATAAGAGGCTGAAACACCAGGTTTGTTGTTGTGAGCCATCCAGGTTGTATCTCTTAAGATGGGCAGCCATAAAAGTATTTTCAATAAATCTCCAATATACTAAAAATAAAAAGGTATCTGAAAAAAATTTCTTGAAATAAAGAGACACTGCGTATCGTTGAATCCTTACAAACACACTACTCAGGGCTAGAGGCATGGATAATGTTTTGATCTTCTAGGGTTTAGCACTGATGTTGGACAGCCGTGTATCACTGATGGTAAGGCAACTTTTTATAAGCTTTGACTTTATCTGGATGAAACTTGGCTTTGATAACTCATGAGGTGGTAAGCTCGAGCTTCAATTATTATAATGTAGATTTCATGGAGCAGCCTTTGAAAATAATCAGAAAATGCCAGTAGATTCAAGATGCCAAATTACAGGCAGTGACTGATATTTCTCATTATCCAGGCACTAAAACGCATTCATGGACGGCTTTCCCACCTCATTTCAATGTGTTTAAAGCCTTACATGGCTTAGGTGCTGCCTGCACACTCCTTCCCCTAATCTCAGATCATAAATGGGACAGTTCTTTTGTGGTCCCATCCTGGATGCTTTTAACGTCCAAATTGAATTTGAGTTTATTTTCCTACTGCCCAACTCATGCTATGAACTGCCACTGGAATTAAAGCAGCCTGTTCTCTTTACTTAAAGCCTTTTAGATTTTTTTTGGCTTATGTTGCAGTTTTTACATTTTTATTCATTATATCTTTTAATAGTTTTTAATAAATATTTTATTATCTTAGTTCTGAGGCCATAAAAGTAATAGGCAACACATCAACTTTTCAAATACATGTAGTCCTAGACTTACAGATGTAATTGAGCCCGCCATTTTGGTCATAAATTGTGACAGCTGTTAAAGCAGGTCACCATGTAACTAGACCCGATTTTACAACCTTTTCTGTGGTGGTCATTAAGCAAATGCTGTGATTGCTAAGAGACTACCACAGTCATTAAACAAACCCATTGTTCACTATGGGGCTTTTTTTGCCAGAAATTGGAGGTAAACATTGTAAATTATGGTCACAGGACTGCAGGAAACTGCAACTAGCCATAAATGTGGCCTAGTTTCTGAGAGTCCATAAATGCAGACTTGAACTTGTCCGAAATGGAACTTCGAATCCAGTGGTAAGTTGCTTTTGGGGTGTCCGTTATAATATGAAATGATTATTATGCAATTGGTTGTAAATCAAGGACTATCTGTAAATAAAATACAGGTCCAGCATTTCAACAATTGAATATAGAAATGTTAAATAATGCTTACATTGATTTACATTTCCAAATATAAAACCATACTCTCTAGCAATATTTAGAAAGCTTAACATAAGGTTTTCCTAATTATAACTGCGGATCTTACATTTTTATAATGCCCTGAGAGTTCTAGATGTTCTGCATATCGTCTAGCTAGCACAGTAGAAACTAATAATATTCAGCATCCAAATCATAATTACTGACTTAATTTGGCCGGTAACAAAAAAAAGAGGCCATTTCTTCCAAGCTTGCAAAATGGCTAGTGGTAAGTCACAGACTGATTTTGTCATGCAATTGTTTTGTGAAAGTAGTAATGGCGCTGTGAACATAAAATGTGGTGATTATGCAATTGATAATAAAGTAAATACTTTCCAGCTCTTGATGTTATGGTTACCTTAAATCAGATTTTTAAAAACCTGCCATTTAAGCCCTTGCACTGATTATCATCTCTGTCAACTAAGCCAAGAACCTGCTAGGTGTTAGTGAGCTGCCTGTTCTTGTATTGACTCCATTCTGGAAAGAAAACAGGAGATCATTACTTTGAGAGATCACAAGAAAACGTATTTGTGTGTAGGATTCAGGATTAAACAGGCACTGTGTGTGAAATAACACATAATGACTTGTTTAACATGTAATGAAGGAATGAAAAATGAATATTCTTGCATCATGCTGTGTAAGAGGCCCACTAAGCAAGGAACTGTCATATTAAATTCCTGCTCTGCCTTTAGATTCCTTTTGATTCCTAAATCTTTTGATAGATACTAATCTAAAATCAAAATGTTCAGGGGCCCATATGCCAGAAGTGGTCACATTTGTAAAAGTTCAATGAACCAGCAGAAGGAGGTTGAATGTCACTGTTTTACTACAAAGCTTGCAGCCAATATACTCGTGCTGTGCTTTTTGCTTGACTCATAATGTCCCATTGCGTCTGTTTTCCCATCTTTGGAGTTGGCTACAAAAAGTACATAAAATCCCAAGCCCCTTCTGGTTACACATATGTGTAATTAGCAAGCAACAGCAAACAATTATTTCAGCCTAAAAGACAAAATTGAACACGTTACTGGTGACATCATCTCGAAGAGTTCCATAAACTGAAAAATAGAAGTGTAGTAAACAGGGGGACGCCAGGCTTATAACAGCTGGTGCATGCTTTTCCTTTCCCTTAAAATGCTGTATTTTAAAAATATGTGTAAGTGTTTAACACAAGTGCGTAAGGTACATTAGCATCCCTCTTTTCTTTTCAGTGTTCTGTTTCTTGTGGACGAGGACAGAAGTACCGAGAAGTATATTGCATGTCGAAGGATGGAAAACTTTTAGAAAACAGTCTTTGTACACAACTGGCTAAACCAAATGTGCTGAGAAAGTGTAGAGGTGGCAGGTGCCCAAAATGGAAAGCAGGAGATTGGGGACAGGTAAGGTGTTTACATAGTAACTCTTGGTCATATCTGCATAAGACTGAAAAGTGTGTGTACCTTCTTTACATGTGTATACTGAAAATACTTGGAGTATATGCTTTATGCTCCCACAGATACTGAACTTCCCATATATTCTACATGGAAAGAAACAAGAAACTGATACATGCAAGAAAATTGTTGAACATTCGTTATCCATTTGAAAAAAACTGTTCTTAGGTAGCGCTGCTTCTATATCAATACCAAACACATAGACGTATGTGATTTAATTAGGGCCACTGCTGGAATCCTGACATGTAGACAAAGGCACTGTGGACTAAGTATTAAGTACCTCTCTTTCTATTTCTGAAGTGAAAACCGCTCTTCCTTCAGCCCAACCATTTTAAAGATGGGGGTTGGGCTGATCCATCAGACTGAAATGAAGTACCAAAGGAACATCATCTTGTGTTTGGGTAATATTTCCTCCACTGCTTCTCTTGTTGTATGCCACAGAACCTGGATCTTTTAATTTATCTGACATTAGTCCACATATCTACTCAGATGTACTAAAGGAAGATAACCCTAATTTGAGAAAGTATCCCCTCCTTCTAAACCAAGAGGGTTAACAAGTACTTATCACCACAAATAATTTTTCTCTATACTGCCAGATTTCTTTTCTCCCCCTCTTCCTCCCTCCTTCTCTCTCTCTCTCTGGTCAATTAGGATTTTTAACTCTTAACCAAACCAATTCTGTATTTCCCCATTAAGTGTGGTTATCTCACCTGCTTTATATGTACAGCATATGCTCATTAATATATGTATGTACAGATAAACATTTGGGTGTGTGCACACTAGCATAAGCCAAACTCTCTTTTTCCCTAAAAAGAATAAAATCAAGCCAAAATTAATGGGATTAACAAATGCTGGTTAAAATTAATTACTTGTAAAATAAGGCATCTATTTGGTCAGATGAATTGATCCCTCACATATATCTTTTCATACCTACGGTCTGTGAACATCTGAACATAAATCTACTGTATGCTTTATATTCAATAGAAGTGAACATGTTTTATTTAATCAGAAGTTACATAGGGAAGAGATCCTTAGGTACTAAGCTGCTTTGTCCTTCAGTCTCTTGTTCCCCTCCACAAGCAGAGGGTTAATTTCTGATGGGAAAACCCCTATAGCCCTTCTGAGGAATTATGAAAAAGATTAGGAGTTAGTAGGTAAGCAGTGAGGCTAAGTTCATTTTTACTACTAACATTCTCAGAGAATGTAAAATGACTATCCCACCCAATGTACTAATAATTACTGGCTGGGTGGGGGGATTCTCATCTTCCTATTGAAATAGGCTACTTTAAACTGGCTACTAAAATATAGAATATATTGTATAATACAAAACTGCATGGATCATAATCTTCCCTGCACACATACATTCTTCATAACCTTCCTTGGAATTTTTAGCTTTAAAAGCTAGAGCATCAGTTATTGAAAAGAGAGATCTGAGCCTCTGAGTGTAGCTAAAGAAAGGGCAGAGAATCTACATGGAAGAAAATTATTTCTGTTAATGCAGCCCATAGATTGCCTCATATCCTAGACCTCTGGTTTTGTCTGTGCTGTGACTATTCCACTTAGTAATTCACAGAAAAGGCTGTTATAATGTACCATCCTTTTTAATAAACAGAGAAGAATGGGAGGGACCAGTGCTTGGTGTTGCAAGGCAACTGTGAGGCGGGTCAAGGAGCCTGAAATAGCAGAATACCTGGCCCTAACTTCCCCTTCTTGCTAGTGGCTAGATGGCAAACAGGAAAGAAAAGATTGAAAATGAAATTACCTAGAAAAAAAGAGGGGTAACAGCGAAGAACATGCAAACATAAAACATAAAGCAAGTGATCAGAAATATAGTTAGGCTCTGGACCTAAAATATGACTACCTCTGAGTAAATAATAACAACATGACAAAAATGCCTTCAATTTAGTAATATTATTCTTTGTAATATTATTATTCTTTAGTAATATTATTCTAAAAGCTAGGGAATTACTATTCCTTTATCCAGGAGCCTAAGCATCTCGTTCTGTCTTTCCCAAGATTTACCGTGTGTGTGTGTGTGTGTGTGTGTGTGTGTGTACTAACTCCCAGAATTCCCAGCAATGCACATTTTAGTGGGAATTTCTAGGACTTACATCCAGAGCTTAACTGTGGTGGGAGGATTTCTGAAGATGGATGAATGGGAAGGAAGGAAGGAAGGAAGGAAGGAAGGAAGGAAGGAAGGAAGGAAGGAAGGAAGGAAGGAAGGAAGGAAGGAAGGGAACAGAAAGGAAAGGAAAGGAGAAATTGAGGGTGTGTGAGCATCCTGAAAGACAAAAGTGCCACCCAAAGATTCAGTTGAATTAGTAAGCATAAAGAGTAAATGGGTAAGGAAATAGATTGGTGCTGCAAGGAGAAGCAGTGGATAAATCAACCAATGGTCTTTCTTTCTGCATCCTTATACTCTGAATATAATATTTTAAACATATCAAGGAAAGGAAGGTAGCCAGCTAGAGTGAGGAGGAGCATAAGGAAAAGATCTGGGTCCCCTTCTTGGACTCCCAATATTTGTCCATCTGTACCAAATGTTAATCAGGTCACCTATCATAATTTGGAGCAAATTTGAAAAGATGAATATATTATTTTGTGTCTCCTTAACAAAATAGCTGCCTCTAGTTATCAAACTCATAACTTAAACAATTTGGAAGTTAATAAATGCATACTGGAGAATGCTTAACAGTCTGTCAAAGGCATGAAGAAATATAAAAATAGACATTTTAAATTGTTTAACCATTATCCAAAATGATTAGGTCCATTTTGGAAAGAAACACAAATTAGCAAGGCTACAGCATGATTTATAGACTATGATAATGTGTTGTGATGTGGCAATTAAAAGATTTATGATTGCAGTGCTGCGCCCAGTTGCATATGTTTAGCCCTATTGACACAAGTGGGGTAAGCATGCCTAACTGAGTGTAAGATTTTATATAATTTGAATGCCAATGGTTATTTCAAATATAAGCTTATCAGGCTTAGCCAGGAGGCTATATTTTTCAGACATTATAAATAGAAGTGTCTGTCACCTTTATATTGTAAGTGATATCAATCTAAGCCATCTGGTCATCTGGCTATAAAATTTGCAGCACTGTTTGTTTGTTTTTTAATTTACAAAATGTGTTTATGGCCACCCACGGGAGAACTTGAGATTTTGCCATTATATAGTCTGTCTAGAAAAATACAGTATATTATTCATTATGGAACAATGTGGTGGCACATTTTGTCTAGCTGAACTGTTGGAAAATCAAAGCATAAGGAGGTTGAAATAATGCTTCTTAGAATGTGGCGCCTCTTAGTGCTGGGTGCTGATGTTGAAAAAAAATATTTTTATTAGCTGCTGCAATATACTCCTCCTGTAGCATTTCCAAATCCTAGTTCTTCAGGCATCACAGAGAACTGGTCATTTAAAAGGAATGTAAAAGCAACAGAAAGTCCTGAAAGTCAAGAAGCTTAGGTATAATATAACACAGAGATAACATAGCCGAGGCTTGAAATTTAATCCAAGGGACTGAAAGAAGGAAGGAAGGAGAGAGACATGAAATTTCATGGTTCACTTTTAAATTTACTGGGGGCAAAAGCTGCGGGAGAAAAATGCCTATAAAAAGACTACAGTATTTACCCAACCATGAGTAAGAGTTTTTTTCCCCAATACCCATCCATAAGTAAGAGTTTTTTTCCCCAATTAAGTACCTCAAATTGCTTGTGGGAGGGATGTCCTTACATTAAACAGACAATCCTGTTGAAAACCACAAAGGATTGGAGATACAAATTTGTTTGTTTGTTTGTTTATTAGAATTTGTCAAACAAAAATGAGAACAAGAATAAAAGAATAAAAATACAATGACAGGGATGATAGGCACAATAGTGCACTTATGCATGCCCCCTCTACCCCTTAAGTATGTTGCAAGGTCCATGGAAATGTGACTGAAACTGAAAATTTGTAGCTGAAACAACTGAATCAGGTAATGAAAGCAAGCGGCTACAGACATAGGTGCCAAAAGCAAGAATCCATTTGCCCAACTGGAGTGCGGGTGAGGCTCATACCAGTTGCTCCCAATGTAACTTCTAACCTAATTTTTCCCCCAATGAAGGAGGAGGAACACCAATTGGAGGAAAGAGGTGGTCGCTATGATTGTTAGAAATGATGTCCATTTCCGTTCTAAAAAGAGCTAGATCAGAGAATTAGCATGGTCCTGGTTATTACTTGCTGATTGTAACTTTCCATAGGCATCTAAATTGGTAAGCAGGTAGGACTGCATACAACATTGGTCTGAACCAGCAGAATAGTTCTTGAAATCTTATTTCCTAATAAGTAGTAAAGTGATGGCTGATAATTTTGCTATTTTTGTCAGAAGCAATTCACCGTGTTTCTTTTGCCTCTGAATTACCAACTGTAAGCCCATCACCAACATTTCTTGCATTTGGCTTACTCTGAGTAACTCTTACATGTAGTCATGTTAAAAAAGCCACTTTTGAAGCTGATCATTTGTTGCTCTTGGATAGCCATTAATATCTGCAATATCTGCAATGTTACCTACATTATGATAAAATACTCAAATTCTTTCTCTAAATCAAACTTCAGTCCAGAAAAGAGACTTCTGTCCCAAAACATATTTAAATGCCAATTCATTTCTGCATAATCTAGACTCAGAGTAGTATTAGGACTTATATCCCTCCTTGGCAGATACAATGAAGATGTGCAAAATAGTCTCTGCTGTTACAATTCATTTGTTGGTTATCTGAATGTTTTGCCATTTTCAGAATGTATGTATGTATGTATGTATGTATGTATGTATGTATGTATATTAAATGTCAAGCTTTGTACTCACATATTCTCAATACTTCTTTCCGGCTTTTAAAAAAACAGTGAACCAAACAACCTCTGCTCTTCCTTCTTTCATATCTTCTTCTTCTTACACAAATAAAAAAGGCAGTATATGCCTGCATTTATTTGGAGGGGAGAGTAAAATAGCAAGAAATCACCCATTTTGAAGTTTAAGACTTCAGGGAAATGTTTAAGTTTTATAAAAGCCTAAACACGTTTTAATGACCTGAGATTGTAAGCATACTCCAAAGTGAAAATGCACATTTCTATATGTTGAAGAGCAAATTGGGGAAAGCCAGCAAAGCAGAATTTTTCATGGGGAGAAATATTATTTCAGTATTTTTTTTAAACAAACGAGGAAATATAACGCCAAGTTATATAAAAAAAGGTGGGTATTTTTGTAGATGAATTGTGATTTGCAGAAAAAAATCTCTTGATCTACTGGAATTAAAGTAATGAGCTTGCGATTATTCCCATTATATTAGTTGGGAAATCACACAAGTATCAGATTCATATGTTCACATATATTCTCAAGATTTAGAATACTATAGATATGAGATAGCTTTAAATTTTAGAGTACATTTCTTTTGCTGTGATTAAACTATCCCACTATCCCATGAGGAATAAAGAGAATAAACAGTATTATTAATCACAATGGAAAGCACAGAACCATATGGGAAATATTTGCATCAGCCAACATAGAAATGAGACTATATTGTGTTCCATTCTCAGTGTTAGAAAACTAGCTATAAATATTTATAATCCAAAGGAATGCCCACAGTCATCTTATTCTTTTGGGTTTACTCATTTTATGGGGCAACAAAGGCTAAAGAAATTCTTCTGTGGAATATTTATTTTTCTTTGTATAGTAATTTATAACGAATTGTAAATGCAAAAAAGTTACAAGAAAGTATAACTTATACTTATTTAACTTATAAACTTATTCTTGCTTTAACTGGAACTTTTATAATCTACCTGGCAATGACTACATGTTATACCAGTTATTTGTGTTTCTAATATCTCAGAAAGTGGAGGAATGTAAATTAGAAGGTGTTGTTTAATATTTTTTTGCATTATTGCAAAGCCTTTAAAGTTCAAAAATGCTAAACATCAGATTATTATTTATCTATATATCTTCTTGACTTTTAGCTATTCCCCACTAAATTTAATTATCCTAGTTAGAATTAAATTACCTTTGAAAATATTGTAACAAGTATATCAGGGGTTGCTATAATCAGGCTGCAGAATTGTGCATAAGCATTCCAAAATAAATCTAATTTGCTTTTAGGAGTGTCTTCCTTGTAAACATATTTGTTAGGTTGAAACACATACGTTCAACCTGTTATTCAGCAGCCTTAAACCTAAATACTCATTATCAGTGAGTGCAGTGATAATTGATCAAGTGTTTTCATGGATTGCAAATAAAACCTAAGGCTTCCCAATGATAATTAATATAAAAGAAAAGTTGCCTGAATATGCTAGATTCTTATAGAAAAAAATGAATGTGCTTCCATGTGTAAACTTATGTTTTTTGCATCATATTTGCCTGGAAACAATAGACTTATGTAGCTCAAAATAAAGACCATCCATGCCATGAAATATATTGAGGAATCTGTCTTCGCCAGGAGATATTAGGCACAGTAAAGCACAAAATTGCTGTCAATTATCCACTTTATATGTATGTTGTAAAAATGATTTTGCATATATTATGCTATATTCTGTCCTCTACAATGCAATGATCTGAAATTACATACATGAATGCAAATATATTGATCCGATGGAAAATGGATACAATAGTTAGCTATTATTTTAATGATATACTTTATCCATACAACATACATTGGGCTGTGTCCCAATGGGAGAATATAATTTCAATATAACTAAATGAATATAAGCAAATGAATTTATTCAAGCTTATTGTTCAAGCTCTGTGGTGCCTCAGATCAGCCCCATATAAGAGTGCTACATGTGGAAGTAATAAATTTTCTGAGAAATTGCAATGGCATATGTCTGTCTTAAGATCTAAAGATAAGCTTTGAATTAAGAACATTTCCCCAATGAAGAAAGATTTTAAAAACACAGGCAAAGTGCTTGACACTTACTTTTTGAATCTCTCCAGTGTTCAGTATCCTGTGGGAAAGGAATTCAGCAGAGAAACGTCTTCTGCCAGTTTACTGCTTCAAAACCGGCTAGAGAAACTGAATGCCGTCAGTCAAGCAGACCAGCTTCTGAACAGGAATGTCAAATGGCAGAATGTTCATTCTATTATTGGAAAACAGGGGACTGGCAAGAAGTAAGTGGACAAATAGTTTGGTATAAAATCAATTACATTAAAAGTATTTAGAAAAGAGTTATTTTCACAGGCCTTATTTCTCTTTGCAAAGTGCTTTTACATCAACTGAACTTTTATAGGTAGGAACATACCAGCCATGTTTAATAATTGGATTAGGAACTACCAAAAAACACCAAAGTTATTGGCTACAGTGGAAAGTTAAAAAATAAAGTCCCAGAAAGAAAGAAATGAGGAGCCACTTCCATAATATTGTGGGGAGGAGAGAGAAAAGAAACGAGAAATGTAGTCATTAAAGGTTGAACTTAACTTGGGGACATTTTTACTTTTTCTTCAGGAATACCATGAGCTGAATGAAATAACTGCTGGCTACTTCAAGCATGCTCATAACAAATTGACAATTTTTATGGCACAGTTAACTTGTACCATGTCTCGTTTAGAAAAACATTCTACCAAGCACTTCCATTTGGCTTCTACTGACAGCGAAAATGATTGGACAAACCAGGAAGCCTTATGTCTCAATTCAGAGCCTGACCTCAGGGCTTTATTGACTACTTTTCTTTTTTTTAAATCTCTTATTTTTGCAATTCTTGTTTTATGGGAAAAGGAACAAGTCAACATTCTTACTTTGTTCCTAACCATTAAACCAACCCAAATAGAGTTTTTTATTTGTGTTGTCAATTCTTGTTGGCAGAAAGTTCCACAGTGGTGTGGCTAAAGAAGACTTATTATTATAAACAAATTGGAGCTTTACCTAATTCCTGAAGCTTATTGTATGATTTTCCCTGAAGAATTGGATTAAAAGTTTCTATCAATTAATCACCAATAGTTACATATTACAATAATCTTCCTCTGTAACCCTATTACTGCATTGATCTATACATACTTGAAATATACATACTATATATGTGATCCAAGTCTGATCACTTGCTTTCAAAAATGTATTGTTAAGACATAACCAAATTGTTCATTGCTGTAAATCAAAACATTGCAATTGGAGTGAAGGTGAAAAATACCTGATAGACTTATTGACATAGTGAATGGATCTGGGAGGTAGTAAAAAAGCTTATCAGAAATGAAATAAAATCCATAGAAGAGAACACAGCAGTCTTGACTTACAGCCATTCATTTAATGGCCATTTGAAATTACAACAGCACTGAAAAAAGTAACTGTTTTTTCACATGTACGACCATTGCAGTATCCCCAAGGTCTCTTGATCAAAATTTGATTGCTTGGCAACTGACATGTATTTATGATAGTTGCAATGTCCCAGGGTCATCTGATCCCCTTTTGCAACCTTCTGACAAGCAAAGTCAATGGGGAAGCCAGTTATTAACTTAACAGCTATAATGTATCACTTAACAACTGTAGCAAAAAAAAACACAACAACCATAAAATGGGGCAAAACTCATCTTGCTTAGCAACATAAATTTTGGGCTCAGTTGTGGCCTTGTGTACCACCTGTATATGTAGCTCAGGGTTGAATTGTGGAGTCCTTGGCGTTCTCTGAACTAAAGCCCATTAAAGTAATTACTGATTCTGATGCAGTTGGTTAAATCCCACCTTTGGGCATTTCATTTGGTAACGATGCATAAAAACACTACCATGGACAAACACCTGGGATGTTAATTCAGGGATATACTGTACTGAATATTTGATTTAAAAAACACGAAGGTATTTTCAATAACCAGTGAGTTGATAATTAAAGCAGAATTTCAGTTTTTCAGAAGATAAGAAGTAGAATATTTTTAGTAAGTTACCTTTATTTCACCCAGTGTAGGAAATAGAATAAGCACTAACTTTAATACTACTTTGTAGGCAAATACAATAATTTCAAGTTTCTCTTCAGTATAAATTACAATGCTGATAGTAGGGTAAATGTTGACAAAAAGTTTGTTCTGTTTTGAAATTGCCTTGATAAATCCAAAGTTGCATTCCTCAATTACATCTTAAACTGATTGTTAAATAATGATTTTTGGGGCAGCAGTCTGGAATATAGACCCAGATATGCTCAGCAGTAAGCTTGGATTCATTCAATTCCCAAAAGGTGCTTTGAAGCATACAGGACCATAAATGCAATACAGTGGAAACTCGGGTCACGACCATAATTCATTCCAAGTCTTCTGTCTCAACCTGATTTGGTCGTGACCGGAAGCAAGATTGACTGTGCATGTGCGCACAAAAAAAAAATGGCGCAGAAGGAAAAATTGCCACAGCTATGTTTGATTGCCACCTGAGGATGTGTTCTCAATCAGAGTCGAACAGTTTGTAGATTTTTTGGTCAGCACCCAATTTGGTCGTGGTCAGAAGCATTCATGACCCAAGGTTTCACTGTATTTGCCAAAGACTTATTAAAGCAGCATTGTCCTTTTCCAGGATTGAGTTACCAAAAAGCAGTGCATTCCCACTCCCATGCACTCCGAAGCATCCTTTTAGAGTTAAATGCAAAACATTTCATATCCCTACATTATTGTGACTAGCTACTTTGCTGTCTGTGTTATTTAAAAAAATCTTAAAAGTAATACACATTTTAGTAGGATAAGGTAAAATCAAGAAATAGTCACTGTGTATCATTAGGTGGTACGATACGCTAATTTTCTTTAAAAAACAATGTTTTGTATGTGGCTTTGGGAGAAAATAAGTAGTTGAACAAGTAGATTTAGAAATTATTGTTCAAATCACAAAATCCTTCATGTGAAATTGCCCACGTGTATTTCTGAACTGATGATCAATTTGTATAGCTCTTGGCATAATCAGAAGTACTTAGCTTTGAACAGGGAATGGATTTACACACTGAAAGAAGAGAGAAACAACTTTAGTCCCTAATTTTTGCAAGCAAAGTTGGGAAACAGATCCACATCTAGGCAGAATAGAGAACATTTGTATAGATGGATTCAGTATAGGACAGCTTCTGGTACAAAGGCATTCAATTTCAGCCAGCTTTGTAAGAAGTGTGTCTATGTCGTGGAAGAGAAAAGAGGAAACACATGAAGGCTCTTCTGAAAATAAAACCTGCTTAAATTGTTGTCCATGCCTCAAAAAACCTTTCTCCAAAGGCTGTTAAAATAGAATAAGAATCATTAAGAGGAGATTATTATATGAAGTCAGAGCAAGTCAGGTAATAATTAGAATGGTTGGAATAATTAGAATATTCTCAGTACTTGAGGCTGTAAAACCTGATATATTAAAACTGATCTAAGAGGGGAAAGTTTGGTTAGATGACCTAGTAGATTAAATATAAAATACACAGCTCCCTTTTGGGTTTTTTTCTATTGAAACAAAGCATAGGAGCCTGGCATTGACATTGATCAGTGTACTGGACAGATTTTATCCCTACTCCCTTGGTCATGCACCCACTTCAAAACTTAATTGGAGCTTTCACATGACATAGGTAGTGAAAACCCAAAACAAAAGAAACAGAAAAGTCTTATTGATGTCTGACATACAAACGATTAAACTTTCCCCTCTATCAAATTGAGGTTCTGCTCTATACTAGGGCTTGCCTGCCTACTTTGACCCCATACTTTCATGCTGATTAAAAATTGAATAACCACCAGCAAGGGGTTTTCTTAATACCTATTTGTCTTCCCATTTCGTTTATATTCTACAGGATAATCAGACTTTGGTGACTTATGACTTGTGTACATTAATATAGGAGAGGTACATCACATTACTTCTATCACACAGAAGATCTCAAAATAATGCAAAGTATATGTCTTTTTTTAGCTTTGAGTTATATACAGAATGAAGGCGTGAACTAAGACTCTGCCAATTTTTACCACAACTTTTGCCCAGTGTAATACAATTTAGCACCAAGATGAATCCATGATTGTACATAAGCTGTTAAATTACGATGCCTAATATGATCTGGTTATGAAAGATGCAGCTCTAACGATTCACCTATGCAAAACTGCAGATAGTTCTTTCCTTTCTATTCTTCTCTTGCTGAATGTCTATCTGGAAGGGAGGGGGGAGTAATGCAACTCATAGTTCTTCAAACTCTGAAAGAGCCAACTTTCCCCTTTCAGACAATTATTCAAAACTAAGAAAGTAACCCCCCTCCAATTAAACATCTCTTCTGATGTCAGCCTTCTTGTCAGTTGCTTAAGTGAAGACTACAATATACAGGGCAGAATTTCTTACCACAGTTTCTGTATAAAGTTACAGAGATGGTTTTTTTAAAAAGAAAAAGAAAAAATGTATTTTGCTGTTTTTCTATTGATTTATAATCCACACATGATTTATTTGCATGTCATGGGAAACGAAAGGGTAATGGAAATGCCAAAGAGGTTTATCTTCAACTGGAGTAAATATATTTAATATATACATATTGAGTAGTGCTGCAGTAGCTTACAGTATCTCAGGATTTTGTAATCGTTTTACACAAAGAAGAAAGAAATAAAGATTCAAATCTAACAATCCTGTTAGTTTCCAATAAGCTTCTGGTAAAAAGAGAGTGAGATATTGTTGGTAACACAGTATGAACATAATACATTCAAACTAATACATGTATTATAAGTACTTAAAAAATAAATAAATTAGCAAGACTTACCCAGTTGAAGTAATTAGCTCCAAAGTAACTAACTTGCCTTGTCTCTCCATTGCTTTCCTCTCTGTTTCTCACTATTTTTGTTACAACTTTCCACAACTGGAAAGCATTAGATACCCGTCCTCTGCAAAATTACTGCCCACCCTTTTGTGGGAGGTGAATATGGGCTATGCTGATTCTCTAAAGCTTTCCAGGCTCTGTGTTAGTTTGGATGTGTGTGTGTATCTGTGTCTAGTCTCTGTAAATCTCTAACATGTGACTGAGGAAACTACCAGGAATGTTTTTCTTAAAAAAAAAAAAAAGCACACCACTTTTTATTCCACTTTAAAGAAAGCATATTCCAGTCCTATCAGGTTTTTTAAAAAATTATTCCTTTTTTTCTCTTTACCAACCATTCTGGATTTCTTATTTCAGTTTGCCTCATCTCCTTTTCATTTTAGTTTTGCTAATCGA